GTGTAAGGATGCATACAGCATTTACGTGTTCTGTCAAGAGCAAAATAAAAGGTTGCATATTTATTTACCAGGCTGCAAAGCTAAAGACAGCAGCTGCTGGATTTATGTGGTTCTGTAGTCAGTAGCCTTTCAAAAAAACTCCCTCGCCAGCCAGCTTAACCAAGGACTAGCTCCAGCCAGCATTGCTGCCCTTCTAGTAGGGTCTAGCTTCGTTAAATCCACCAATAGGTTCTACTTAGTATTTTGCTGTGTGCCTGATGCCTCTTTTCTAGGCATAACGTCGAAGGTCCAAGGGGGGTCTTCTCAGCTTCAGCCCTCCTCGGGGCTCCCAAGAACAGGAACCAGGAGACTTTGCCTGCTCTGTGGCTACAGCGCTGATGCTTGGACAGTTCTGATCCCAAACCTTACAGAAGCTGCTATCCAGAACAGGAATGCTCCTTTACTTTCTGTCACTTAGGTAAATTTGCATTAATATTTCAGGTAGTGTCAAGGATCAGCAACCTTATTCTGTCCTCTTCTGTCCTGCTTTTCTTCCAAAGGAGATTCTGAACGAGAGGTCTTCCTTTGTCAAAGGTAGTGCTCTTTGCTTTGGTTATAGCTCAATATTATGCTCTTATCAGAGGACAGAATGTAAATGGAGTATCAAGGAGTAAATTCAGCAATTTACGGTTGTTTTTGAAATTCAAAACATGTCCTGAGAACCCCGTTAGATCTTTACTAATTCAGGCTATCTCTTCACGAAGGGCCTTGCTCTTACTCCTTCAGCACTTCTGAGACTGTTAATGGAATGCTCCTAGCTTGTTGCAAAATAAATTTCTTTGATGGCTAAATAAAGAGCCAGGAGTTTCAATTCTCCTACCCCTGTTTATTTCATTTCCCAAGCCAATTTAATTGTAGGATTTATTTTTTGGTCTACCAAATGCATGCTATGAGTTTTAGGAATTAGAGTGCTTGTATAATGTATGGCTGTAACAGCCTGTAGTTCCTCTCTTTCCTTCTCCTATAGGTAGTCAGCAGTGGCATTTCGCTCATCGCACGGTGTTGCTGTTGTGCTCTACTCTGCACACCTTTTT